AACCGCGTGTACGCGAGTTCGCGATCCGCGAAATAAAAACAAACAGTTTCCGCGCAGGTAAGCTGGCCAGCTTATATTCGCGGTCGCGATACAATAGCCCGAATAACTATTAATTTTCCGACATCTGGAGCGTGCATGTACTAGCTCTTCTAACAAAGAGCAGCGAGCGATCCGACACTGCATGTTGTCGTTGTGCGAGCGCCGAAGTAAACAAACACGCGGGCCGATCTGATGTAGCATATAATAGATAATAAAAGGTTCTGTTCGAGTCATTAACGAATACTCTCGACTGTATTATTTCATATTGCTTCCACTCACTTTCTTGTAGGTTAATTAGATTTACTGGTTGACTGACACCTGTCTCCCCATGCTCTCCGAATTGCGTTTTGAGCATAAATGATTACATTCGCCCTTTCAAGAAAATCGCGCGAATAAAAATAATTAAACGGTGTCTACCCCGTTACAATATATATGTCAAAAACAATAATCTAATTTTATTGTATGTTCCTTCCAAATAACCCAATAACCCATCTATGTGGAAAGAACATACAATAAAATTAGATCGTTGTTTTTGACATATATATTGCAACGGTAGTCAATTCAATTAATCGATCCGTTCACGACTCTGTAACTCGCGCGTTAGTTCAAATAATTAAGAAAGAGGGAGGGGGTGCGTGAGCATTTGAATTAAGCAGTTATGCCTCAGCTGTTTACGCGACAATACCGCCGAATTTATTTTGCACTGTGTTTCGCCGAATATAAAGCTTTTTTGAACTATCTTACATGCGTGAGTGCAATGGTATTACCGCGGTAAAAAGCAGCAGCAGTGCAGAAGCAGCATCATAGCTGATTGGAGGCAGAGTGAGGCAGCGCAGCTGATTAAGTGGAGGAGCAGCGGCATTTGATTTTCCTCATCAACAAATACGACTGATCACCGTAATTGCACCGCAATGTAGGTGCACCTCTCGTTATTATTGCGCGACAAAATACATTCGGTATTTTGTCAACCGTAAAATCGATTTTTTTGTATTCTCGCCGAGCACTAGTTTCGCGGTAATTTTCGAATCTTCTCTCTCACTCTGTCTCTCTCTCACCGAATAATAATTCATTGTAAATCCTGTTCGCGTGCGTTAGTCTTTCGGCTAATAAAAGACTGTATTTTTTTTTAATAATTAAAGTTAGTTAATTTCATTCGCCGATTACGTCATTTAATTTCCCATTAGTTTAAGCGATTTGTAAAGGCTTAGGTACCGATGCGAAAACAGCCCGACACAAATAACATTTTATAAAAAAAAATTATCACATCTCACGTATGTCTAATTGTACTTCTCGAAAAAATAATTATTTGTTATTGTACCATTATATTTCTCATAAAAAATAAAAAATATCGTCATCGATAATTCACCTCCTATTTATTCACATAAAAGACATAATTAAGCAAAAATAAATTCACAGAAAAATTGTACCTTCTATAATCTGAATTGTACCATCAGTATAATTCTATAAATTTGTTTCTAAAAGAAATAATAGAACAAATACAAATTACAACTAATTGTTACAACTTACAAGGATGCCATCCGGAAATGCACTTTGCACAGGCGTAGAGCGTTGTAATTGTCCTATTATTTCTTTTAGAAACAAATTTATAGAATTGTACTGATGGTACAATTTAGACAACAGAAGGTACAATTCTTCTGTGAATTTATTTTTGCTTAATTATGTCTTTTATGTGAATAAATAGGAGATGAATTATCGATAACGATATTTTTTATTTTTTATGAGAAATATAATGGTACAATAACAAATAATTATTTTTTCGAGAAGTACAATTAGACATACGTGAGATGTGATCATTTTTTTTAATAAAATGTTATTTGTGTCGGGCTGTTTTCGCATTGGTGCTTAGGTTTTAATCCGATTTCATCTAGGGGATTAACCCCCCCCCCCCGGTCCAGCCTGCATAATTAGTGCGATATTAAAAAAAATATATTAATCGAAAGATTTTTATTTGCCCAATTCAAATTTATTAACAGATTAATTTGCCCATTATTCTTTTCTTCGCAAAAAATTGTTAGACAATTTTTTTTCCCTACTATTTCAAATATCTGTATCTCTTGTATTAAACGATATTTTTGAGCATACTAAATTGTAAAAAATTGCCCCCGGCCTGATTTAATTTGCCCACTTGACTGCTATTAAAAATATTCAATAGATTATTTTCCAAAACTGAAAAATCATAATTAATAATAACAATTTACTACAGTGTACAGGATTTGTGCACTGCGTATGTTCAGAATGAAGGCCGTAACTTCGAGTTACGAAAGTTATATGCATGCATGTTTACTGGACTGCTGTCGACTGCCCTGCACTACCATGTTGCTTTTTGTTATAAAGGTAATAAATAATAAACGTATTTCACTACTTAGTTTAACTTACGTCACAGTAATCACCATTGAAGATAACAAAAACGTGAATTGAAAGCAATAATAAATTTCTTTAATCTAGCACATTATACATACCAACTTTTTTAACATAAACATATATATTTGAAAAATTGACTTTGTTTACATATTTTTTACAGGTTCTACCTCCTCTCTTTTCAACCTTCTCATTATGTATGAAAAATTTCATTAGTCTCCAAAATGTTCATGATAATTAGTTTCATCAAGCCAAAACTTGTACGTCTATAATTTGGTATTATACGAATATCTGAGCAAGTTACGGTGCAGTTATTATAATAACTGATCTATTAAATATTATTTTTTGTTATAAAGGTAATAAATAATAAAATTAATAGCAATTATAAATTTCATTAATCTTACATATATTTCTTTCTCAAAGATATATATATATATATAGTTTTTTTTAATTATAACTGGAATATTTAAGGTTATGGTGTATGAGTTATATAATCAATTTTTGCATAAACAATTCCACTAATTTTGATTGCAGGTGTTGTAGGAGACAAAACGTTTCTATACTTAACGAGGTCGTTTCTTTTAATCCAGTTGGTATTTGATAAACAATAAGCTACATAATGTCCAATTCCTTGAGAATCATAAGGTGGAATATATTTTACTATTCCACATAGTACAAACATTTAATGTTGTATTGTCAATATTCGTGGCACAGCTCCGAAATTAGTAGTGAACTTTTCTGAATCCAAATTCAGTTCAGATTATGCATACGTTGATTTTCTGTATGCTTAATCGGTGTCAATCCATTTATTCTAGATCAAATTGTCCAGTAATGGTGCAACGAATGGTGTGCCACAGCCTTCAATTAGTCCAGCAGCTTCTGGTAAGCAGCAAGTTCAAACAACACATATACACATCTGTTTATGCAATTCTAATTATAATTACAATTTTAGCAGCTGCGCCGTCAAGAAACTCAACAACTCCATCATCAGTACCTTCAAATCCCAAACCATCGAAGAGACATAAGAGTCTGCAAAACTCTGAAAATGATTCTTCTAGCACAGAGGCTGAAACAGGTAGCAATGATTCTATGGTCGACACAGAGGAAGAAGGTTTCAGTGAACCTTTGATGCTGAACGAGATAGAATTAGTATTCAAACCTCATCCTACAGAAATGGCTGGAGATAATTCTCTGATTAAGGCTCTCAAAGAAAATAGTATTAGATATATTAAGACGACGGCAAACTGTACATGTAATGCTTATTTACATCAGTACTTTGAATCGACTTAAAATAAAATTTATTAAAAATTAATTATGTGGTTTTAACATATTTTAGTGGACTATTTGAGTAAATATTTGGCACAAAAAAAGACCTTTGAAGAGTGTAAAACAATCGCTTTATTGATTGCGTGATTTTGGTACTCTCGTTAAATTAATGTAACGAACTTGTTTTAATTGTCTTTGTTGAGTACTGATTTACTTATTCAGTTTTTAAAATATTAGATTGATATTTCAAGAATAATCTTGAAAAGTATAAAAATTACCTTTCTGTTGTTTTTTTTTACTTCTTCTATCCATGAGTAAATGAAATAATCGTACATTTTTATGTGTTTAGTAAAGTAAGCATAAAAATTACTGCCAGAACTTTGATTAGCTGATTATGCAAACGTTCTTGCGCACTTTTAAATCTAAAGAAAACTTCAACCAGAAAATAATTTTATTTAATGAATGTTGAAGTGTATTTGTAAATAGAAAGCTTAAATCACCACCATGTTTGTTTGGAAATCAACTTTCAGAAATCAATATTTTAACGATTTATTGTAGAACATTTTTAACAGGCGTATTTTCTTAATTTATTAGAATGAAGATTAGATGAAATGTATGCGAACAAATGATTTGAACAGATCAACTTTTGAAAGAAATGGTTCGCTTCTTTGACAATGATGGCTTTTGTCATGTTGTATCTATGTTGTCCAAATAGTAGATTTTAATTTGATGTGACTGTACATATCAAATTGTAAATGATGTAACAGGCTGCCGTTTAACCTGTGACTTATAAATCGTATTTATTACTTCGGTCAAGCGACGCCTTGTTAGCTGCGTGCCGTAAGCACGTTAACCTACCTGGTGCGGGAATGCGCCTTCGCAGAGTCTCCTCGCCAATCCGAGTTGGGTTCCCCAACTCGCCACTTGGCGGCGCTGTCGTTCCTGTTTAGCAGCGCTCCTACGGCCGCTGCTGGAAACCTGGTTTGCGATTCGCTTCTACCGATATCCGCGCGATCCGTGCTACGCTACCGGCTTATTCGAATCGAATGTCAACAAACATGCATCCCGGACAAAGGAAAGACAAAGCAACGACTCGATTAAGAATAACGGTTGATCGCTTTATTCCAATAAATTGAATACACGGGGGGTTTGCCGAGAGACTCTCGCTCGCTAACTCAGATGACAATGTAAACGAATGGAGAGAGAGAGAAAACCGCGATCGCCGCGAACTAACCGCTCGCACGCAATAAATAATTTCTTCGCGCACGCTGCGCGGGATCGCACGCTAACAACAATGTAGAAGGTTGTGCACCTACCGCGAGATAGAATAGGATACGGTGGCCAACCGTATCCGATACGCAAGTCGCAGATTCGCTGCTCCCCTGCTCGCTACTCTGCCGCTTCTGTTGTTGTTGTTATTGTTGGTGTTGCTGCTGTGTGTGCGCACGTTGTCTTTTCGCCGGATTTCCTGCTGCTCTCTCCGCACTCAGCACACCACACTCAAGTTCTGCGACACTCGGGGAAACCTCCTTTCTCGCACGACCACAAAACGCGTTGACGGCTCGAAAGGGTTAGCTCGACGTAGCCGGACTGAGTGACACAGTCATACTGACTACCGAACTCTCCCCTCCCGGTCATTGCCCCTACGCGCCCTCTCTCTCTCTCGAACCGATCGCGGCTATACCGCTCAGCCGCTTATTAACCCACGCGAGTCGAACGATTTTCGGTAATCGTTGCAATGATTAGAAATGACCACAATTTGTTGATATTTTTAAACTTCTGTAGTAACAACTATAGTGATTCACCACCAAAACCTAAAAATACAGATACAGTACAGTATGCATGAATTTTGTAAAATACAATAAAAAATAAAACGATTAATAAAACTTGATGGGTGTGAACAAAATATTTTAATGTAATTCCACAATTAAAACTCCAAATTACCTTTTCATTATTATTCAAGAAAGCGTGTTTTGCGATTAGACACCGATACAAAGATCTGTTGAAATTGACGAAATATTTGAAATTCATTTTTTTCTTGGTGACGTAATTTTTGAATGAAAATAATAAAGAAAAGTGTAAGCAAGTTTACTACAAAACTCACTTAACTTTTTAATATAAATTTGAACATACTGATCTGATCACACTTGATAAAATTAAAATTAACAAAACTTGAGCTTCAATCTATTTCTAAATATTTATATACAAGTTATTTTCCTATAAGTCATCATTTTCAATTTTATAATACACATCAGAGAAGCGTAACAATTATAGCATTTCTGTATAATACAAAAGCAGATATTATTAATTTATTATCCTTTACATGCAAAATTCATATTTTTATGAGATGCGAATTTTGAATTTGGCACGTTTAAAACAAAAGAATTAAGTATCTGACAGCCAGTGCGAAGTCCGTCTATAAGCTTTTCGAATTTGTTTTGTTTCCTCTTTGTTGATCAATCCAAATCTGTTAAGTATTCGAATGCCGCATATTGTTCTGATTTTTTTATTTCATCTTGTTCATCAAGTTGACCACTGCCATTGACCACTGCCACTTGTTCGTTCCTGAAAAACGTTTTTTAAAATTAATAATTGATTCAATAGTTAAAAAATGAATGTGATTCGAAAATTCTATGAAGCATGTGCATTTTTTGAAGAGCGTGAGGCTCACAAGAAACTATATGGTATTGTCATAGAGGTATTGTCATATTATCAAATTTGCGTTCTTGGTGTGGTGAAAAAAATGTCAAATTGTTTGACACCATTCCGTATAATCTCTTTTACGCCAGTGTGTTTGGAGCTTGGTTAATTTTAAGTAATGGTGGTATGGAAAATTTAATAAGTAAGTGCATTTATGTTTTGTGAATGTTATTCATATTTTAAAAAATGACCCAATTATTCCTATCTTCCACAGTTGAAGAAATGATAAAAATTTATGGTCATGCTATTGCGCTGCACAATGGAAATGAAAACATTATTCCTATTTTTAAAAATAATTACATTTTCATGTAAGTACACATAAATCTTATCACATACAAAATTAAATTTAAAACTTAATACTAAATTTATCAATAAATAATTTGCAGAGAAAACGTAAATAATTAAAAAAGCAGATTTAATATTAATCATTATTATTTGATCATTTTATAAAAAATGACTGGACGTAAACCATCAGTTGCACCGAATACATTGAAAATAAAACTCCTTGACTTCAATATCTATAATAAAGATGGAACACTCAAAAACAGAAATGACATTGTTTGGAAAGACGTATGTTCATCAGTTGATAATAAAATAAATGATCTCAACTTGTTTAAAATGGTAAAACAAGATAGGCTCAATATTCTCACTAATTATGTTAAACACAAAGGTTTAGAAAAAATTATTAATTTTGAAAATAATAATAAAAATGATGAAAATAGTGATTTTGATATAAGTAGTAATGAACTGGAAATAAACGTAGCAAAGAAATCATCAAAGAATAAGAAGAAAGCCAAATTAGTTTTTTACATCACAGTGCCAACTGAAAAATGGTTACAAATCAGTCCAACTGAAAAAATATGTAAAAGTGGACGTACAGGAAAAGTTTTACAAGAAGGTTGGACTGACATTGTCAGAGCATCAATATGGGAGTGTGAAAAACTACCTTGTGCTTATAGTTTTGATAGGCACTATATTGGAAGTGACAGTGGATATATTAAAATAGCGAAGAACATTGTACAGATGAAAATTGCTTTGTGAAAATTTATTTACTTTGTGAAATAGAACCAACAAAAGATAATCCTGCAATTTTGAAAGTTATTACTAAGGATACACGACAGATACCACATACTAAAAAAATAAGACTGCAAAAATTAGCAAAACAGATAATTGAACAACAACTTTTAAATCAGAAACCAAAACAATGGAGACGAGCTGAAGTAAAAAAGCGAATGACGTATGGTGATCCTGAACCTGGAGATTTATTTAAGCTGTCACAATTGCAAAATGCTAGACAAGACGCCAAAAACAAAGAAGTTGGAATAGGGCGAAGAATAAAATTATTTGATTCGCTCACCGAAATAAAAAATAATGTGGAATTCAGCAAATACATTCGAGGAATAGGATATGATCATTTTTTTTACTGTATTGGTCACCAGAGCAAATTAGCGTATATAATGACATATTAGACATTTTTAGTAACATAGTATCACTAGATGCTACAGCATCAATAACATTAAAAATAGATAGACCTCATGGGAATTCCAGTGACATTTTTTTATCAATTATGTGTATTCATATAGACAAATTAATTGTACCTATTTCTCAAGCACTATCAGAAAAAAATGATACATGTTTTTATGTTTATTGGCTACAAAGTTGGATACAGTCAGGAGGCAAAATACCAAAGGAAATAGCAACTGACATGGGCAAATCAATACAGAATGGCATATGCATAGCTTTCAATTCTGTAACTTTTAAGGTATACAAGGATACATTTCTTCTGATTTTATTCGAAGAACCAGTATCGATATCAATTTATACACAAATATGAACTGATGTAGCTCACGTGATACACGCGGTTAGTAGATGGCCATGTTTCACAAAAACAATATCAGCAGTAAAGCTGTTATTCGTACAGTGTGTTGAGTATATGACTACAGTTGACAAACTGAAAACTTTTGAAAAAATAATGAAATATGTTCTGATTGTTGCTTACAGTAAATTTTATGATATTGAGTGTCAGAAGGCTATGACATATTTGGTCAAAGTAATTCAAACATTCGAATTCAATTTAAATACTTCTGGAATAATAAAATCTGATGATGTAATTCATCATCACAACATTCAAAGCGATGGAAATCCAATCAAAACAAATAAAAAGTTTACATTGACATATTCTTACATTACTAAAATCAAAGTAGATGTTATATCAAAAATAAAAAATGAAAGCAACTCAGAGATTGGTGTACAAAGTAATGATTAATACTTACCAGATTTTGGAAATAGATTGATGGAACTCTCCAAAGATTTTGTTTGCTGGACTAATGTGATGCAACCGTATTTCCAAAATCTTCACAAGGAAGCATGTATTGGAGATGTCAAAGCTTCTATGAAAAATACAATTGTGCGAGCAGATAAATTTCTTGTTATGCATTGCCGTGACATTGAAGCTGATATGTTGTTGGCCAGAGCTGCAATCAATAATAGATTGAATGTTAGCAACAAAGAATTGGAAAAAATTAAAATAACTAATTGTGATGTTGAGCATCTAATGGTTATTGAGAGATGGAGAAACAAGTACATGAGTATTATTGGCGAAAATAATATTTTTGATGAAACTATTATTACTTGAACGCCATTGTGTAAGAATCATTTATTATTGTTATTATAATTTGCAAAAAATTGTATATACAATAAAATGTCTTTTTATTTTCAGATTTATCTTCACTGCAATCAATTACTGACAATGAAAATCTAAATCACCATGAACATAAGGAAAGCAAATTGCAATGAAATAATGTAAAAAAAGTACTCATGTACATGAGCCCTGATATAAAAGAAAATAACACTCATGGAGATATTTCGTTAGATCACAATTATGCTTATCAAGGAAGCGCAAAAAAATATAGTCCATTATTAAATCATATAGAATCAAGGAATACAAATATCAAAGATACCTCTGTCAATGAAATAGCTGAGAAGCCCAGAGGAGTACATGTCCGCCCAATTCCTGAAATTAGTTTGTACTTGCAGCAAGAGCGTACTTCATCTAAAATCAGTGCAAGAAAAAGAAATATTATCAACGGAAACAAACAAACAGAAAGATCAATCAAAAATAGAAAAATTAAATTTTCAAACACATGTAGCTTTGACACAATCACAGAGATTTTGACTAACACATGTATTAAAGTGGTAAAATTTAAAAACTTTATAGTAAGAAGCAAAAATGAGAAATTGACAAAAAATTATTTGTGTTATGCTAATACAGTGCATAATCACTTAACATCAGGAGTAACAAATACATTCTACACTAATTGAGCACACATCCTGTATTCTATTTTCAAACAAGAAGGCAATAATGTTGACTGCAATGGAAATATGTCAACTATTTTCAACACTAGTAAATCTGTATGAAAGTACTACTGAAAAGATGGAATGCACTAGTTGCGGATTCAAAAACGAGTTTCAAAGAATAATTACATTTTTACCTAACTTAAATATTGCTTGGTTAAACAACTATCAAAATTTAGAAATAGAACTCAATAATCATTTTGAAAATAAAATCTATAATTGCCAAAATTGTAACGAGATAAGTTTAATAAGTAAATATACCTTAGGGCCTTACTTATGGATTGACACCGATGAAGCATACAGAAAATCAACGTATCCAGAATCTGAACTGAATTTGGATTCAGAAAAGTTCACTACTGATTTCGAAGCTGTGCCACGAATATTGACAATACAACATCAAATGTTTGTGCTATGTGGAATAGTAAAATATATTCCACCTTATGATTCTCAAGGAATTGGACATTATGTAGCTTATTGTTTATCAAATACCAACTGGATTGAAAGAAACGACTTCGTTAAGTATAGAAACGTTTTGTCTCCTACAACACCTGCAATCAAAATTAGTGGAATTGTTTATGCAAAAATTGATGATATAACTCATACACCATAACCTTAAATATTCCAGTTATAATTAAAAAAAACTATATATATATATATATATCTTTAAGAAAGAAATATATGTAAGATTAATGAAATTTATAATTGCTATTAATTTTATTATTTATTACCTTTATAACAAAAAGTAATATTTGATAGATCAGTTATTATAATAACTGCACCGTAACTTGCTCAGATATTCGTATAATACCAAATTATAGACGTACAAGTTTTGGCTTGATGAAACTAATTATCATGAACATTTTGGAGACTAATGAAATTTTTCATACATAATGAGAAGGTTGAAAAGAGAGGAGGTAGAACCCGTAAAAAATATGTAAACAAAGTCAATTTTTTAAATATATATGTTTATGTTAAGAAAGTTGGTATGTATAATGTGCTAGATTAAAGAAATTTATTATTGCTTTCAATTCACGTTTTTGTTATCTTCAATGGTGATTACTGTGACGTAAGTTAAACTAAGTAGTGAAATACGTTTATTATTTATTACCTTTATAACAAAAAGCAATATGGTAGTGCAGGGCAGTCGACAGCAGTCCAGTAAACATGCATGCATATAACTTTCGTAACTCGAAGTTACGGCCTTCATTCTGAACATACGCAGTGCACAAATCCTGTACACTGTAGTAAATTGTTATTATCAATTATGATTTTTCAGTTTTAGAAAATAATCTATTGAATATTTTTAATATCAGTCAAGTGGGCAAATTTAATCAGGCCGGGGCAATTTTTTACAATTTAGTATGCTCAAAAATATCGTTTAATATAAGAGATACAGATATTTGAAATAGTAGGGAAAAAAAAATTGTTTTTATCAATTTTTTGCGAAGAAACAAATGATGGGCAAATTAATCTGTTAATAAATTTGAATTGGGCAAATAAAAATCTTTCGATTAATATATTTTTTTTTAATATCGCACTAATTATGCAGGCTGGACCGGGGGGGGGGGGATTAAGCGGATTAGGCATAAAGTTGCTCATACCTAAGATACATCGAGTGTCACAAGTCACGTGACTTAAAGTGAGTTCAACTCCGTTGGAAAGAAGACAATTAAACGAAATCATCTGACGTAAAGGCGAATACACGTACAATTATACGTGTTTAACGGAGCGGCGGTTAGCTCTGCATCGTGGGAGTATGTGCTTCAATAAATTTCTCATTTTTTCAGATAACCTCCTCCGTTACAATATTAATTATTTTGGAAAAGTAAGAGGGGTGCAATTAAAACGGGTAAGGGTTCAATATTATTGCCTTGTTTTTTTGCAAAAATATTAAGTATTACTAAAGATATCGCAGTTGCAAAAAACGAAAAAATTATCACAGTTTTTAATTTTTTTTGGGACAACTGAAAGGGTTCAATTAAAATAATGAGCATTTTTCGAGGGTTCAATTAGAGATATTTCGAATGGTATTTTTTTCACTGTCTATTACATTTTGAAGGCTAGGATAAGGTAGGCCGAATATCCTGAAAAAGGGACAACTGATTCTACATTTCAGTCGATGCAAAGAGCAGTTGAATCGGGTGCTCCTGTTTTCGGTATAAAAAACGCCACACCTTTGCTACTTTTGAATAATTTTAATATAATTCATGGTTTTGTCCCATGTCTAATGTACTGTTTTGATCTGCGTGTAGGCAAACAATTTTGCAACTATGGATTGACTTCATCTAATAAACCTTACTCAGTTCCTTAAAGAAAAGTAAATACCATTAATCAATATTTAAAAAACTTCAAAGTGACGACGCAGTTGGTACGATTGTCACGTTCTTTAGATGATCGAGCATATTAGAAAGCGTTAGAGTGATCTAATTGGATCTTTTTTTACAGTATTCCGATATTGAAATTAATATCACAACAAATTCCAAATTTTGAAAACTATATGAATCATTGGGCCTTATTAGTAGAAGCATATTATACATTATTGCAAAATGAAATAACTATAAAAGAATTACGAAGAGCAGATTGTCTTTTAAAAAAATTTGTATTCCAAATTGAACTTATTTATTCAGATGATGCGATGACATATAATGTACATCAATTGTTACACGTAACACAGAGTGTTGCTGATTGGGGTCCATTGTACGTGCATAGTGGCTATGTCTTTGAATCAGGCAATAGTAGAATTAAACAAGCTATTTACGCTGCTAAAAGTGTCTTAAACAAAGTATCTCGTCAACTGAGTTTTGAAAATGTGACGGGCGAATCGATCATTAGATTCGATCGCCCTGTTCGCCTCTCTCTCTCTTCCGCGTGCCTTCCCCTGAGCCGCTGCCACATCGGTCTTGGTTGAGTAAAACCGAGTATCGACGCACGATGTGGCTTTGTTACAGGTCTGATTCCTGATCGGCGGAGATGCCTGGCGCTGGAGGGATAGGCATAGGCGGAGAGCAGAGGAGGAGAGAGAGAAATAGTGTCGCCGGCATGAGCCGCACATGTGTGCGTAGCCGGCGGCGCTCGGCCGTTGAGTACCTATAGGGAGGGGCGCGTAAGAAAGCGCGGAAGCCGCGAGACCGCGGGCAGTATAGTTCTGACCGGCAATTAATTGCCAGCTATTAGAACTTCGCGACGATAACGGGTTTTTGTGCGGTTAAGTGCTGTTTGGAGACCATCAGCAAGAGGGAAGATCGGCTACATTGAGAATCCTGCCTTGCGAAGACTACATCGCTCGCCCAGTGGACGTGGACTTCCGCAACAGCGCTCCCTCTCAAGGTCAGGTACCCTTTTTAGTTTATCGGTGCGCGCCTCGATTTCTCTCTCTCCGAGCATCACATAGGCCGGACGCGGACGAGTGGTTAGATGCGTAAATTCGCATCGCCCTCGCGGAATTCGCGGGACGAATTGTAAGGTGACGTTCTGTTTCCTGTGCGATCACTCGCACGGAGCGAACGTAACCCGGGCTCGGCCGACGCACACGTCAAGGCCGAATGTATAAAATCGTTGTAATAAAGAGAAAAATATTAGAATTGATGAGTTCATTCTGTTAAACCTGTCTCTCTGTAATTGATTAAATTGCGATTATCGATATTGCCGGACGATATAGCCCTCGTTAAATTTTCGCGACGAAGCGAATGTGCCTTCCGAGCCTTTCCCCCTTAAATAATTTGTGACGCAACGTTGTTCGGGCTTAAAACATTAACGTACGTGTTACAAAGAGAGTATCAGGATATTATAAAAACATATAGAAATAAGAGAAGATTCACCGTCTTTAGAATATGTTAAATATTTAGGTAATGGATTTGTTGAAATGACTATTAAATTTACACACAGATATTTTAGAAGAATAGTTGTTGATGAAAATCTTTTTGAACAGTTTCATTTTCCATTAGGAAAAATAAGGACTTATGCAAAACTAATTAAAGATGGGTGTTTATTTAAGTTATCTAAAAAATTATTATACAGATCAGACAATTCTCATATGCAGTTTTGAAAAATGGTGATTATGTACAGATTCAGCAACTTCTTGTAAATATTGAAGATGTAAAGGAGTATACCATGTATAAAAAAATCAATGTAAATAATGATAATTTAATAAATGATGAATTACATAACCTCAAGAAAGTTATTAAAGTATTATTAAAGTAAGACAAAATGTTGATATTGTAACGTCGGGCCGTTTATTAGAAATAAATTTTTTTTTCCTCATGTACTTTTGTGTAGCTTAAATTTTAACTCGGTAAACTAGCGAAGGAGAGCCTTCAGCTGAAGCAGCTGGAGGACACGTGAAAATAGTCGTCCCTTTATCGCGCGCTTTCCGATGTTTACCTCGCACGATCATAAAGTTTTTGAGTAGGTTTAGATAAAGAGTAAAGGAGCCGCGGAATTCCACCTGCATCCTGTTACTCGATTTCACCCAAAAGATTTCCACTTTTAGAAGTCAAAACTTTTGCTATATAAAAAAACCTTAATAACTAATTTTACATAAATGAATCGGGAAAATAACAGCATGATAGGAAAATTTCGCAGCTTCTTGAAACCTCCCACACACTTTTTGATTAGAAACATAGTTGCCGCGCAATCATTGAAAATAACTCGAAGTTTTTAAATTACAAATTAGAAAAATGAGGTAAATAGTCGAAAACAGTTACTTGAACGAATTTTAGCAAATCAGTTATACAGTCCACAATTAAATAATACCCTTTTTTCGTTCGAATTTATTTAAACAACGAAGTGAGTTAATTAATTAAGTTACTAATTGTAAACATGTAGGATCAACAGATTTTCGCGTAAAATATGTTAAATAATAAGGAACTTACGTTATTTTTAAGAATTAATTGTAATAATTTTATATAATAAATAACTTAATAATTATAAGAGAAACTGTACTAAAAATGGTACTTGGAGAGTCATCTAGCGAGATAAGGCCCAAACTCTTGAACGCGCGCCCCCAATTCTCACCACGCCCCCGAACCAATTAGGGCCCGAAATCCGAAAGAGAAAAGGAGGGAAAATCTCGGTTGGCCAATTAGAATTCACTGGCATTTCCACTCTTCCCAAATTTCGAGGGACTGAAAGAGGGATTTTCCTCCCAACCACCCCCAGGGTTTAAAAGGGCATGCGCAAGCGAAAATCGCTCTCTCACGCTCTCACGCTCCACACAAGCTTTTAAGTGCATCTCATTGACCAAGTGCCAGGTCCAGATTGACTTCTCCAGTACCAGTTAACTAAATAAAAGAAAAGTAAGTTGAAACAAAATTTTATTCACTATCTCTCCTTTTCCTCTTCTTGTTAGAGTAGCTGATCGAAACTCGTGAAAAATAGGTCTTCGAAAAAGTATTTCAGCAGGAATTGGGATACTTTTTCAATAAGACAGTCGCGCCGTTAAACTAAAATAAAATACTTTTATGTGATAATTCCGGCAAGGTTTGGGATTTTCGCATCCAAGTCCCGATTCCATTGGACCCTGGTGTTTGATGGAAGGCTTGTAGTCCAGTTTAATTTTTTCACTCTTTCTACGCGAAACGCGAAGTAGAAAAGCTCTAATTCTCCAATCGCTCGTCCCGGTTTAAGCGTACGCACGCAAACCAAATAGAGCGCCTGAGATTACGTCCACCTCAGACGTACCTGAGATAGTGACCCGGACGTCACAATATAACAGAAACTGCTAATGTTTATAAATTATATGTCTACTTAAATATTGATGGCGATGATTATGTTTCTTCTGTACCTAATATGTATTGGAAATAACATACATTTATATTATATATGTAGTAAGACATGTGTTTTTGAAACAAGGATTGTTTTCATTTTATTTCCTATTTTATTTATAATTGTTTCCTTTTTATTTTCCGAATACATTATGTCTATTCACGTTTCCCATTTAATATTTATTATTATTATTCATTGATTATTTTGTAAGAGATAATGTAAATATTAATTAAGAAGTTTCTATATTATTTTTCACTATATTTTTATACAAAAAAATAAATATCATATAAATAATTTTATTCAACAGTTACGAATTGTATCTATTTTTAAATGATGGCATTTAAGTACATACTGGAACAATCAGATTAATATTATTCTATTGAATTTTGATTATTATGTAAGTGATATTTTACATATTTAGCCGTCAATATTCTTACAATGAATAAAAATGTAATAATAAAAAAGTTACAGTAGAATTCAACAATGCAACAAGTACTTTTACATAATATATAATTATTCATTTCATACTTTTCTTGTGTTCTGAAATAAATATATTTTTCTATCCTGTGACTTTTATCTTATGAACTTTAAAAAAATTGATTGGAAATCATAAGATTTCGAAGTAGCGAAGATTCTTAGAAGTAACGGAAATTCATTCAGAAAAAAATATTTTTTAATTCCAAGTAAAAACAACATACAAACATACAACAAAATAGTAACATTTAAATAACTCGACTTAGAAA